TATTCGAAATTAGTACCGTTTCCGGGTAGGCTAGTTGACATATCCATTTGTGTAACATTTACAGAATGTACATGGGTCGTACGTTCTGTAACTGTACAACAAATGGAGTAATACTGAAAAAATGTATGATACTACATTTGGTTGTATTATAGTACATTTTTTTATTTGCAAAAGGAAGGGTGGATGGGTGCGGATCGGGCGGGTCTCCAGTCGCGGCAACCTCCACGTGGTGAGACCTGGGCAATCATATTGATCATAATGTAATTACTAATCATTTATAGAAAGTTCAGTTATTCGTGGCTTATACAAGCAAGGTATTATTATATAATTTATTAATTATTTTATTATGAGCAATATGAGCAAATGGCTGCGAGTTTTATATATGTAAATGCAATTTTGTTATTCACAATTCCGGCCTTTATGTAGTATCTAATTATTCCCGGTCGTCTTACAAGCAATTGGCGAAAATAAAGTTTTAAGTTATGTCGGTAATTCAGAATGTTGGCCCCGAGAATATCTTACCGGCAAACTGACTGGTTTGTGTTCTGTTTTTTACTATGGTCGCAATACATTCTAGAGGGCGTAACAACTGTGTATGTAGTTCCAGTCGTTTTTTATAGATGACGTTAGTATTCCTTTATTTCGGAAAATAGATCGGTAAGTTGTCGAGTTGTTTGCGCCTTTTCTTGTATAGATAGAGCTGGACATCGAATTTAAAAGACTTTAATTGATGGCGGTCTTTTTAAGATACAAGTTTATGAATCCAAGTTTCCAAGAATTTTCCCTCAAAATTTATCCTGATATCTCTCTACTCATGAAACCGATAAAATTGAAAGAATTTCCTTTTATTAAAAGGCGAGCAGAAAAATAACAGTTACGAAAGGGTGGCTGGGAAAAAATTCATAATTTCTTAGAGACTGGAATGAAAATAAAAAACAGGGACCTGCTTCTGAGAAGGCAGCCAAGAAACGGAAGCTGGCTCACGATGTAATAACGAAGGTCGGTGTAAAGGGAAAAAAAGATGACTGACAGGGTGGAAAGCACCCAAAGATGAACGCGTAAGGAAGAGGACGGAAAAGAAATCGCAGGTGGAAGCTGCTGGAGCATCTATATAGACAGACAGCTTCTCCTCGAAATGAAACATTCGAGTTATATTTTACGAGGCGAAGATCTTTTGGAAATTAATTATAAGTCTCCCGCTTATCCTGGCTAAGAGGGTACGAAACGGCTATGAATTAAGTTTTATCCCCGTTTCTACGGCCATACCGATACCGTGACTAACGAATGAGCCTGCGAGCTTAAAAAATTGTTCTTCCCAAGATAAACGAACACGGTGGACGATGGGTGTGAAGCGCAGGGAAGAAAAGAGGAGAACGACAGCGTTCCTCTCCTCCGCGACGAAGACGATTAATCAGAGCGGTAAACACGAGTCCTGTAGACGGAAATTAATTTGTATTCTTCTTCGATAGCATTCCGCTATAATGGCGCGTCGCTTTTTAATGCGTCTGGCGAGGAATAAACGAGCCATTGACGAGATGAAATTGGTGAAAGAGGGATAATTGAAGGGAAAAGAATTAATACCAATAAAATTTCGAGGAAACGATCGAATGTGGTCGTAAATGAAATTGAAATGTAATTGAAAGCAATATAAAACGATCTTCGTATTTTCTATTTATAATATTTGGGGAAAAATGTCGGTAATTCTAAATGTAGAATAATATATTTTCGATTTTGGAAGATGGTTCTCTACAGTGGAATTTTTGGACATCAAAAATAAACGCGATCCGTTTTACAAGTGTAACTTATGGATCACGTAGAGCGTTTTTATTTTTCACTACTAAAAGAGTCGATGTCTTTTGTTTAAAATATAGTTTTCATCAAGAAGCACTTTGAAACTGTGCCAACAAACGTGAAGAAACCAGAGATCATTGGAATGCTATTATCGAATTCGACACATTTGTCAAATGACACCAATAAGAATTCGAGGAGTATATCTGAAAAGGTATTCGAAATGGGATGCAGTTTAGAAGAGAAATTGAGGTTTCAAAACTATGTCACGAATGAGTTTTTCCATTAATTACTAACATTAATGAAATGACCCAATTGTGATTACAGTAATCAAACAATACTAAAAAAAAAGTCAGAAAGAAGCTAAACATATTTAAACGCTTTTTTTATAATTGCATCATAAGGAAAGCTCGAGGTCCAGGTTCTCTTTACTGGAATTACTGAAACGCTCGCAACCTTCTTCGGTTGTTAAGTTTTCAAGCATTTTTTGAGAAACATTAAAATCTTTACATCTGCCTGAGAGTAACAGTTCTGCTCTACTTCTTTTAATGACATCAAGACACAACAGAGAAGATCGCAAATAAATTGATTCATCATTTAATAAATTCTACTTTTTCGAATAATTACATCGACGTCCAACACACGTGCACTTACACTTACACCTTCAATTCGTCGCGTTTCACCGAAGCGACACACTCGAGTCACCCAAGACGCTCAGGTGTGCAATCCTTCATTCCCACTAAACGTTTGCGCCGCTTAACTGCAACTCACACCAACAAAATAAAATAAATCACAACATAAAGAAGCCTGCTGCACTGGGTCAGTGGAGAAAAAAGGCCTCGACAGGTTTGAAACCAGTTGTCCGAAAAAAAGAATTTCTGGAAAGTGACCAAAAGGAATAAGTATTATAAAACGAAGGATCTAGCGTTCAGCAGGTTAGTCTGATCGCGAGTCCTTCGATGAAACGGGACGCGTTTGTTTAATCGATCGATCGAACGGTGTATTCAGAGAAACAGAGAAAGAAAAAAGGTGTCTGTTTCCGTAGAGGGGAATCCTGATGCGGTGAGGTAGGGGGCGGAGGCGGAGGAGGAGACCAGGCGCCAACGGAAAGAGGCGCGTCGTGCATGGTCTTCTCATTCTCGTGCTAGGCTTAGTCGAATTTCCCTCTGATCTCTGCTCGTACGAGCTTACAGTCGCGTTTCTGCGTTCGTGTGGACCGCGCGGTTACGTGTCGTTGACGTGTCGTCCTCCACCATCTCGGAAGCGACACGAGAGACTGGTATCGTAAAGATTGGCAAGATTTATCCAGGAACGGTTGTTCGCCGAGCTTTCCCGTTTCAGCGATTCACGCTCGATTTCCATGGATTGAATCGTCTCGGTTCTCCATTGTCGCCGGGAGAATCACGGTGTCTCGTAGGCAAACGCGAACCGATAGTCGTGGAAGGAAAATCGTCGAGGAATGGTAAACCGTGAGAGGGATCGAGTTTGATGGGGTAACTTGGCTCGTTCGACTCGGAAAATAGAAGGAGACGAGGGAGGGATCGTTGACGAGCGATGAACTCGAACGGTTCTTTCGGGACAAAGGCGAGTCGCAATCTCGAGGTTCGAACACCGCAGGTAACCAGGTCCACCGGATCAATGGGAAGTAGAGTGTTTTTCGAGAATGCTGTAGGGTCGGCTTTGAAATTCAACAAAGTTGGGAAAAGAAAGTCGAGAAGTAACCATTGAAGATCTGTCGAGAGGGAAAGGTGACTGAACGGTGGTAGCGCGAATAACGCTTTAGAATCAAGCCGGGCAGCTGGAAGAAGAGACAACGGAAAAAATTGGTCAGCGACAAGGGCGGGAGGAGAGATAAATTAGACGTATAAAACAAGTCGAGCGTGTGTTGAAGAGAAAAGTAGCAGCGTACGAGCGTCTGGCGGAGTGGAAAACGCGCATCGAGAACGAATTGGGTGATACCGAGTGGACGTTTTCAAACCGAGGGTTACAACCGAGGCTGACAAGTGGAACAACCTTGGAAATTGATAGATAGAAGGAGAAGGCCATTCTTCTGCGGTCTGCTTCTCGGGAAATCGATCGTCTCGTTAACAAGTCTCGTAGCAACGTTCGGAAATTATCCGCGGAAGAAGAAGGCGGTCCGCGAGAATACGGATTCTTGGAAAATGAGCGGAGTTGGAGGAAAAGGATTGGCTACGTGATCGATGGACAAAGACGGGGTGGATAAAGAAGAAATAACGAGATCCGGGTCGCGAAATCAATCAGAAGGAGAGGCGAAGGAATAATTCGCGGACTCGTTTGATAGGGTAGCTGGAACCGACAGAGCGGAGCCAGGAGAAAAGCTTTTGGTCAACGAACCGTGAACGGTGTTGAACGTAAAGTTTCCTCAGAACTTCTATCCTGCAACACGAATAAGATTACTTTCCTCGAAACGTGGCCGGCTAATTTCGAGTAATAGCTCCTCTATAATTGTTCAGACCGCCCCTCGAGATTACCAAGATGCAGCTGCGTGCGTGCATCGCGTTGCATTATGCAACGGAAGCGGCGATTTAATCGACCACCAGGCGGTTTATGTTCGACGACTACAAGATTACCGTTGAGACTAGGTATAGCTAGAGTTTGCCTCCAACAATCGACGATTTCTACTGTTAATCACGTGTTTCCGGTCCAGGGATACGTGAAGGTTTGATAGTGTTGCGTCTGGCGTTGTTCGGTGCCTCGATACTTACGAGTCTCATTAAGATAGGCAGCCAGATGAACGTCAGAGATCAAAGTTCCCTCATGTGGTTCACCCTCGATGGAATGTAATAAAGTGATATAAAAATAGAGAAAGTGGATCACTTGGGTGTACACAGTTCTGGGCACACCCACGGGTCAATTTTAGTTACAGCTTCCGAGAAAATTCGTGCGTAGAGGGGCAAAAACTCAAATCAGTCGAGTTACCGCTCGAGGGATCATCCGTTCGTGGTTGGAACTCGTTGGAATCGTTTCAGTGATCGACGTTTTCATGAATTCTTACGATTTCACCAAATCAGTTCTTCTTCCGATTGATGAAGCCGTTTAGAGTTCTGAAAGTCGTATAGGGAGGTGCAGTGTTAGATTAGTGTAACATTAGACAAATTTTGAATCATTTAGTGTAGTGTTGTAAGTCGTGACGAATTTAAATAATACACATTTCTGTGAAATTCAGTTACTTGGATCACTTGTGTTTTGCCATGAAGACGAAAATTCTAATTTTTCTAACACTTATCTCACTATCAGTGGGTGAGTCCTCTTTGAAAACGCGATTCAAGAAGTGTTGTCCACCTGATGAGATTTTCTCGGGTCTGACGAAGGTGGGATGCGTCCCGGTACCCCAATTCGCTATGGAACTGTACAGGATTAATCACGGTGATCAGAATGTCAGCTCGAATGCGTCTGAAAGTAAATTTCAATTTCCGATCTGCGAGAATCCGGAAGACATCGCTACGACACCGGTTGCCGAGCTGAAATCCACCGACTTCTTGCAGGTACGAAATAAATGCGTCCAATTGGAGAGAGGATTCCTAAAAATCCTAGAAATTCATCAGAACGAAGTTTAAATAATAACTCAACGATGAAAGATAATAATTAGCGATCGGCAGTTTTCGACGACTACACTTTGCCAACTCTGGGATGTTAAATTGGTTAAAATCGTGTTAATTTCTTTCTTGGCACGGATCGATTCTCTTTAAATTTGTTAAATCTTGATCTGTTAATTTTCTACTTTTCGCTTGTGATTTGTAACATCGAGAAATTGATCTGTCTTGGAGGAGATTAATGGTGCAATTACGTTTGGAAAGGTTTTGCAATTCTGTTTGGAAAATTCTTGTTTGCAATAATATTAGGGAGCAACAGAATTGAATTCTAATTTCTATGATTAATCTTCATTATTCTTCACTTTCAGGGATCATCCTGTCTCGAAGTTCTACACGAACCCAATTTACACCAAAGCGTACCGATAATTGTTCATTGTCAATCGGACAAATACAGAGACGAAGAAAATAAAGAACCAATTTTGTCATTACCGCGACTATTGGACGTTAGAAGATGCTGTCCAAGAAATACAGTTTTCGATGAAAGTAATGGAAGTTGCGTATCGATATTCAACGTCATTTCTGATGAAAACTTCTCGGATACTAACGAATTTCTATCCATGCTGCCGAAAGAATTGGACAGCGTGGACTTCTTGAATGTGAGCAGAATCTCGCGAAAATGTCAGGGAGCGACGTTCACTTACGTCATCAACCCCGAGGATCTCGTTTACGTGAACGGAATCTTACAGGTAAACGTGTGCATAAATTTTACGATTTCATGAATGAAATAATAGGAAAGTTTCCAAAAGGTACGAATTACAACGGCGAGAAATTGAAGCTTCTTCTTAGTAGTTGAAATTTATGAATGAACTTTCTGCTGTGACGTGAAATTCTACGAAGGGAAGATTATTTAGTTTCTTTCTGAAAATTTTCAGAGGACCTTGAAATTGAAGATCAACAGTTAATAGAATTCTATAGAATTTTTTAAATCTAGTGTATTCTAGAATTTTTAGGTGTTAAATTGTCTTATTGTTAAGAATTCTTCTATTATTTATGATTGAAAGATTTCAAGTTTTTCATTCACCTTATTTTTTCTTATTTTCAATCAAAAAGGATCACGTCTTATCTCGATTGCGTGATTCATCCAGTTCCTTGAAAATTCTGTAAATAGGAATTGAATAATTTAAACAGAAATTTCAAAAATAATTTCAAAATTTGCGGTTCAGATGCGACAGACTCGAGGGAAACCGAAGGTGGAGGGCTTAACTCCGATGAGGATACCCTTTGCAAATTTAATGTAACTCAGCTACTTAAAACGAATGAAATGTTCAATTCGAAGTGTCAATTCATTCTGCACTTTTCATTTTTCATTTCTCGGAAGAGAAACGCCCTGAAATTCCATTTTGCGTTTTACATTCTATCCTGATAAAAGGGAAACAATGCCACTAATCAGGTGTGTCCATTTACTCAGAAGCTTGCATTAATTTCTTCGCAGATATGCAAACATTCTGCCGCACCTAGGTTGTGTTGAAATTAATTTCCGACGAAAATTCTTACCCATCCATTGCTAAAAAGTTATCTATCTTTGGTGAAGTAATAACGTTGCACAGCAAAATGTAATTTAAAAAGAAGAATTCTTAAGTTTAACAAATTTTGAAGCTATTCGAACACATGTTAACCCTTAAAGAAAAGGCTGCTTTCTGCCACGTACGCTCACACGACCCGATCAGACTATTTATGGTCACCGGGCATGATAAGAAAATAAATTCACCGGGAAAAATCGTTTCTTCGCGCAAAGAGAAACAAACCTTAATGACGGCAAACTAATTTATCAAGTGTACGTGTCAGTTTGTTTATAGCATGTATCCTCTTCCGTAATTTTACAACAGTCTTCCGTTTATTACGGATTTCCTATTCATGGGAAATGATATCGTTATCGGTCAGGGGCGTGACACTTTTGATATCACTCTTCGTGTTATATTGGCTTGATAACAGCGTTACTTCTGAACGTGAACAATGTCTACTTTGTTGATCCTTCGATCAATGCTTCTTCGTCTGTTTGCAATGATTCAGCAGCTATTTTGAACGTCTTTTTTATTTGGGCTTTTCGAACACGTTACGAATATTTTGATTGGACCTGGCGCCTTCAAAAACATGGGCAGCAGGGCAGGTGCCAAAATGTATTATCGTGGTGAAATGGCGGTGAAATTCCCTCAAAAATGAAAATCAAAGCATTGTCTTGGGAAAACAGCGTCGTATTTGTTGAACGGGGAAAAGCCACGTGGTAAACAAAATATTTTGATTAAAATGACACGTAAATTGTGTATGTTATACATGGATGCCAATGGAATAGTGTATTCCCAAGGCTGTCGTAAATTTTATGCCATTCTCGGAGCGATGCGACGTTGCGTGTCAGGCTGGTTTATTATATCTGATTATACTTGAAGATAATTAGGCATATTAATCTTGATGATTTTTGCGACGCTAATAACTTGGTTTCAGTTGAAACCAAACGTGAAGATGAACCTTGAAATACGTTTCCTATCTTTTACCTATTCTAATTAGTCTGTCTATCTTTGATGTATTATAATTAGATAGAATTGTTTAGACGGACTGCTTGTAAATTTTGAATATTTCATTTTCTGCATAATTTATTTATTATTTCGACGATTTTCTTTATTTCTTAAAATTTAAAAGCATGATGTGCTTCATACGTTTCCAATTTTTAATGCTTATTTTCACTTCAGCCGATAAATTTAGTAGTTCCATAAAACGGTTCCCAAATGCATACAAACAGTAATTACGTAAATATAGCTGGATGCAGTTAAACTATAGCTTCTGGTATTTATTTGCTATATTTAAACTGTCAGATTTACGTAAACGAGAAAAATGATTCTAAATTTATGATCACTAAATGAAAGATTCAGATCGAGAATAAAAGTCTTCTTGTGGCAGAGTCTCCTTATCAGTTTTCTCAAAAAGGCAAAGCACGTATTTGAAGTATTCTTAAAAATTGTACAAACACGCATCTGGAATTTCCACCATTTGGCAAATGCATTCAAACACTAGTCGCATGTTGAATGCTTCACCGGTCAACCGGCGATTCGTGATGGCATTTCGTACCACAATGCATTTATAAATATTCTTTCCTGGACAGATGCACACATAAAAATCAAGCAAACCGGTTATCATGTCGTCTTTGCAGCTATTCACACAATCGTCATTCACCTGTCGTATAGTTAGTCAGTGAGGATCATGTAATGCGTCTGTAAAATCCATCAAGTGTCATATAAGCATACCTGAAACGGTTAACTGATACGTGAGAGCTTTTTCAATTAGAAAAGAGTTTTTTCCTTTATTTTTTTCATTGAACTTATTTTAGATTCCATTTACGGTGACGGTAATTAGCAGCCACTCGTTTACTGTCACTCCTTTAAACAGCGGCCTTTGCTTTTATGTAAGAGTTTCATGTACCATCAACTGCATAGGTCATGAGTTATTACCAACAACTGTTGCAACTAATTATAAATTAAAATTTAATTTAATCGCAATTAAAGCTAGTATTTCAACTTCTTAATTTTAATTTTAACTTTGCACATTTTTACAAAGAATTTTCACTTTGAAAATTATGCTGAATTCAAAAAATTTCAATGTGATGTTTGGTAGTTAAGATAAAAACAGTGTGTCATTGTAGATGATTAGAAATAACCATGGATGTTGGTAGTTTTATGCTTTGTTGGGAAGAAAGTGCAATTGTGTATCGTTTCCACTGACTGTACACTTTTCTTGCAGCAGTTGTATTAATAACTGGGGGGATTTCCTCTTCTAGCAGACCAGTAAACGATGAAGTCATATTCACGAGGCCGTGGGTGCCTTATAACAAACATTTCGACGCCTTCATTACTCTCGTATAAGAACCACGTGACGAATCACATAACAGTAAAGTCTTTTTCCTCGCGTTACACCGAGGTGATGTTCCGTTTTCTTGGGCGCACACCACGTGCATAATTGTTTGAATAGATGACGTTTGTTTCTACGAGATAGTTTGTTTTTTCTTCCTCCCATTTTCTTTTTCTTTATAGATGTATCAAATTGTTCGGAAACAGTTGTTCTTCTTTCTTCAAGAAACACAAGTTTAAATTATTAAATATTGAATTTCCATTTTGGGTCAGTTTGAACGGGGCTAATTATGCAAATTATGATTAGGATTGAATTAAAGTTTCATTGTTCCACATCGTGGCTAGGTCATATTTGATCTGCTGATTGAATTTTAATGAAGTGAATAGTAATATCTTCAATGATAGTAATTACGAGACAATTTGGCAATGTATAATACTTTAACGATTGCCTACTTTCAGATGATAACCTACTTTTAATTAATTAAATTTTAATGATTCTGTTCCCATTTTTCCTTGAAAAAATTGTACTTAAAATAAACTTTTGCCAGATGCTTTTAGTTTTCTATTGCAGAGATACAACGTTGAAGCAGTAATAAAACAGGTTTTTACGGTTTTAACAAGGCAGAAGCAAGTTAATTTACGAACCCTTTGGGAAAATTAGCTACTGAACTAATTTACGGAGCATACTTTTATTAACTTCTAGGAGAACTATGTCTGCATTCTGTTCTCTAAATTCCAAGTAAGCAGGAAACAGAGGTCTGGAAGGTCCGTAAATCCAGCAACTTCAAAGCAACAACTTTAAGTTTCATTTTTAAACCCTTCTACTCGCGTTAAGCTACGCAATCATTTCCGCGAATTTGTAGGTCGGTATCGTTCTAATCGTGTATGTTTTTCGATAAAAAGCTTGCCGTTTTGTTTCAAGCAAAAGGTATGAAAGTTTCTCTATAAATCAACTTCTGAAAATTTTGATCAGAGTTTGCTGGAACAAATTTTATACGGTATCCTAACCGAGTAAATTTTACTTTTTATTCGAGACTATATCGCATCGTGCTTGCTCAGCTATTTCTGCAGTATATGCTTCGCTAACTTAGCTCGATATCCAAAATAGGGGAAGAATGATCCAGGATCCTTTATGGTTCATGCTCCATAAGATCCAAGCTTGGCAGCGAGCTGCCAGTTTTCATAAAGAAATCTTCCTATCTCCCCGTAATTCTCATACATTCCTTTTAGGTGTTGTATAATTTTTTTACCTTAATTGTGCAATCATTTTTCACGAGGAAAGATCGAAAAGATCCGCGGGGCATTTTATAACAAAAATCTTTCCTACAAAAACACGAAATTTGCACCTGTTTTGTATTTTGTCGGGAACGTCTACCATTGTGTGAGATTCATAGATGCAAACATCAATATTTGATGTTTTTAAAAGAATGTTTTATTGTTCACTCGGTGTCCACCGAAATCCAGTATCGCAGAATTCAATGTTTGTTGTGCTAAACGTTCACAGCCATGCGCTGGAATAAATAAACGAAGCGTACTGGAGTTTATGAAACTATAGTATTCCGTCTGCGTTGCAGCAGAAATGCATCGTGGAAAAAAAGAAGGATTTGACAAGTGAAACAGATTTTACGTATAATTTGAGTTGTTATTTTTTTATCGTTGCTTGTCTTATCTATTTTTCACTATGGTAATCACCGTGTTAATTATGATGATTGAGTTAAGAGAAACAGCATAGGCACCTGCACACTCCAAATGTTTCATCCTAGAAGAATGAAACCATCCTGCTCCTTTCACCCTTTCTGCCAAGCTTACAGAAATGCGCGCGATATAACTTGAATATCCTGCGCTTTTCCACCCTGTAATAAATATCAAGGGATGTTTTTTTGGCGTGAACGCACTGGGGTGGCTGAAGGTAGCGAGGCTTTATTTCGAGCAGCAAAAGGATGCGGAGCGGGTAAATAAATTCGACTCATCGCCGGAGAATCTACAGGGCGTGGTGGTTGCACACCGGTGTGCAATGGCGTAGGAACGATGCGCTGCTGGTGAAACCAAGGACCGCATTGCAGAGGGTGTCAGATAGAAGCTCTCTGCTCTCTGCTTTCAATCGAGCGTACCCTCGCGAAGTCGATAGTCGCGTTCTAATAACGCTTCTCGCCTCATCATGCCGATAATTCTTCATCGGACAATGAATTATTGTCTCCATCGTTCTTTTCTTTTCTATTTGCTTTTGGTCAATCATAGACAATGATCGTCTTCGGGCTGACAGTCACAGTGTTAACACAGAAATCTCATTTCCGCCTTGTACAGTCTTTTCCTCGTTATCTCCGTTTCAATGGGGTCCCGTTTTCCTCGATCGTTCACCTTCGACACTTGCGAAATAATGACACGGAAAACGAGCTAAGCGTTCGACCATCGCGTAATGATCTTCCAAAACCGAACCTCTGGTTATATTTGAAAGAAATTCCATGGTTACTTGGACCATTCTTCAACCGGCATGGTTCGATGCCGTTATTTTCACCACCATCTCGAATCGACAAACAACTTTTTCTTTTTTTATTCTCGCTAAATTTACTCGATTCGGAGAATGATCGAAGGATCGTAGCTTTTGTTGAAACACTGTTATTCCCATAGAATAATAGGACGGGGGATGTTTCAACGGAGGGAGTTTGCTCAGCTTGATGAATCGATGACCCGTTTGAAATTCTAGCGAAATTTTCTCTTCTTCGGTATATTTCCATCATTCTTCTTCCGCGTTAAACGAGAAACGCTGGCTTTATTTGTATTGGAAATAAATGAGAGTCATTTAAAGGAACAATATGTATTGGTAACATTTACAATCCCTCAGTGAACAGTGTTTGTTCAGTGTGCTTAAATAAAAATTTAAAAAGAGAGTGATACTTTATTAGTCTACTGTATTTGTATGAATTTATTTTAAATTAAATTGATAGAGTCAGTTTGGTATTAAAATTTAATTATTTATTATTAACTTACCGGAATAGAAACTCACTCGATCTTGTTACCAGTGTAATTTATTCACCTGCACTTTTGAAGCTCTAAATGACTACTGTTTCATTGCCCATGACGAGACAAAGGTTCCTTTATTCGGAAAGGCTGAAAGACTGGAAACCCTGACGCCTGGTGCGGTGAAATATTTAACGTACTACGGAGACGGAATTCATTTTCAGGAATTCTCCCTTTTCCCTGATGCGAGTCACGTTCTTTCGCTTTAATCTACCGGTGATATTTGATTTCACGCCAGTTCTCGACGAAATTTTTGCGCGTCCGTGGAGTCTTTAAGACGAGTCGAAGCATCGAAGATCGTTCGAGGAATTCGAGGAATCCACGGCTACTGCCGATCGGTTCGCTCGTAAAAACAATTCAAACTTCTTGGCACTTCGAATTTCTCCAGCTTCGAACGAACTAGATTCTTACTGATTCGATTTTATTGACCCTTCCGGTTATCTCGTACGATTTTTCAGGTAACGGTGACGTCCTCGGCGAGGAACATCGAAAGATTGAGCATCAACAGCGAGAACGCTTGTTTGGAGCTGACGCCGGATTTCCGGAAGACACGTCGCATGGTGGTTCGTGTTTGCAGGAGTTCGGATCTTTGCCAGGATAACGTCTGCGTAAGGAAATGTTGTAACACAAAATCGTGCCTCAATGACGTACTGCCCGATTCTCCGAGTTTCTTTCACGAAGCCGTCTCGAAACTTCTGAAAACAGACAGCGTTGCAGGTAGATTTTGTTACTTGAATAATAATTCACCCTTGCAAAATTTTAAAATAATATCTTGTATCTACTTATTTTTCTTGAAAAAATTTTCCCTCTTTCTTGTATTATAACAAATAGAAAATGTATGATCATTCAACCTCTATTTCTCTCCCTCTCAGAATATCCCTATTCAAGTTACGCTCATAAATTGTGGGCTCAGGGACGTGATGACACCTTCCCTTAACCCAGTTTAACCGACCGATGTTACAGTAATCCAGGGAACACTATAACACGAATTTCGATTCATCAGGAAATATTTCGACCATTATCTATGTGTCCAGTACTATTTTCATTTTTTCTTAATTCCAATGCAATTGTACTACTAACAGTAATTCTCAGAATTCACGTACTATGTCTATAGAAGTTCTATGAACATCACTGATTAGTTTTCAATCGTTAGATCTAAAATTTGAAATTTTAATACGTATGGAATTCCCTTGATGCAACGGATAATGACACGGTTTTATTACTGAGAATGAGATTGAACGATTATACAATTAGTTCAGTGTTGGAATAAAACAGGTTGCATATCTCTATAACGTAATCTTTTCCCGTTCTAACGAGTACTTGCATATTGAATTTGCGCAAACAGTGGTTGTGTCACACCTATTTACGTAAGGAAATTTATCCTCCTCCGCCAGAAATGATGTAACAAATGCTTGAACCTCCTTTTCATTCATCATTATTGATGAAGCAGTTTTTAGAAAGAAATTATTTCTTTTAAATTATTAGCTAATTATTAGCAGTTTTAGCAGTTGAAGAAATTATTTATCCGTGGAAATTATTTATGGTATTATAAAATTATATTCCTGGAAGTTTTTTCTATAAAATAGTCAATTTCTATTCTCTCGCGGTTTCTGTTTTGTAAGAAATAAATAGAATATGATGCGATAGTTTGATACTTTTTATTTATTCATTTCTCGTTCGCGTTTCTGTTTCAAAGGATATGGTCTGATGGTCGGACCAAAATGCAAGTATGGAATGTTCATGCTGACTGAAAACGATACGTGGAACATTACGCCAGAAGGATATATTAGCTTCAATCCTGATTTCAAGCCGTGGTACCACGATGAATACTGTATGGAAATGTTTTACAATAATACAACAATGAACAGTCTAACCATGTTTGCTTGTTTCGATACTCCAATTAAGGAACCAAATAGAGTACGGTAAGACGTTCTTTTCTTTTTATAATACGTATTTTTTTTTTTCAAAAGTGTATAGGAAATTGAAAGTGTATTTTTAGTTGCATTGCATATGTTCTGGATTTACCAATTTATTCTTCCTTTTGACAGCATTATGCAAAACCGTCTAAAATAATATTATTAGGTAATAAAGTTTTAATTATTTGTTTTTTTTCCTCGTTATTTTAGAATCTTCAACGTCATTGTTAGTTGTTAAAACGTAAAACGTATTCTTTCTAAACTACACCGGATAAACATCGTGCTATACATATCTCATGTATTTATTTATACTTTTTTCATTATCTTTTATCTTCGATAAAAAAAGCCTGATGCACTCGTAAATCAAATTTAAATAGAATAATTTTATAATTCGGGTGAAATGTAACCCGATATCGATTTACCGAGGGTAAATAGTATTTATAAAATAAAACTCCGAATAACAAAATATTCTTGCCACTACACATATAATATTTGAGAGAGCAAAGATAGAAACAGATCTCTCGAATTTCATGAATTGAATCCAGCTCGTTATACCATTCACAAAGTTGTATAATTACTATCCGATAAATGTTTCTGTAATTTGAAAAAAACCGCACAAACCATTCGAGCACCCTCGATGTTCAAACTCGACGGTCCATCGTTATAACAAAAGACAGTACTTCACTTTTAAAAGTCTAAAAATAAAATAAAAAAAGGTTCATATCCAATTTGAATTGATTCAAGTTGGACAAATGAAAATCTACGCTTTGCCGCGTTTTCTCTTCGTATCAATCTGCCCGGGGTTCGAAAGTTTTAAGCCGATGGATGGCGACCATTTATTGTTTGAATCCGTTTATTTGACTTCGCGAAGTTTAAACAAGTACCTGGAGCCAGTCGAGTTGGCGAAATTCAATAGGAGCTGGCTCCAAAACTTTCACATTCGTTGTTGGATGTTTTACAGCACATGTGTGAATACGTACAGGCAATTAGTTATTTTACAGAAAATTACAAATTTTGTAATTCTGATGTCTCCTTCCTGGTCTGCATGGCCCACAATAGCAATTATGTTTCCATCAGTACCGTTTTGAAAACATTTCTTTTCAATTTTCAATTGAATTTTAATTTTATATTTGCTTCATTACTTTCTGTCGTATATTGTAAAGTGGATTTTATGCTTTACTAACCGTGGGTAGTTAAAAACTATGGATACAAGTTCTCGTTGCTGGTCAATCGTTCAAACTAGAGCACAGATTCTTTCATGATAGCCGTATATTGTGGCTGCATCAATGCCAGATAGCCAAGTTGTTTGCCAGTGATGCGGACAATGTGCACGGCCGTGCATCTTCAAACAGAAGAATAAATAACAATGGTACAAGTCCATTTGTCTGATGAATAGAAGAAGTGCCATTCATCGGGACAAGTCGTAACGAAGTGGCATCTGACCGTACATTCGCCTTTTGTCGTATATGTATATTTCTTTTTCTTTTCCTTACTTTTTACGATATTTAAAACATTGTCCATGGTGAATACGACGGAAAATAAATGTAGCAAATTTTAGTGAAAATGATTAGAAACAATTGTAGTTCAAATGTTTATCTCTGCACACCTTTGTAATATTATTTCTCAGAAAGGCAGTTTCTGGAGTGGTTTCATTTATCTTCGACATCCTCCATTAAGAATTGTAAATCATCTCAACGAACTTCTATAAATTCTGATGATTTCCTTCAATCTCAGCAACGGTGGAATTTAATTGCCTCATTTTCACGCCCACATACATCGTTCTATTAATCAAAAAAATTAATCAATTCGGCTCACAGATTTGAATGCTACGAAGTTTCCTTAAATTCTGGCATAAATAAGGATCAAGCGATGTTAACGAGCTCGTTGATGACGAGAAGACGCGATAGCACTTATTGTCAGAATACTGGCTTCTTGATAATGAGAATAATTAAGTGCAGATACAATTTTCTTTGTGGCGGTCACGTTCATTCCGCGAGAGGAAATTTCAGTTTTCTAAGATTTCTCGACAGAGCTGAAACGATTCCTTTTGTCATAGCTATGGATCTTTAGAAAATCGTCGTTATTTCTTTGCACTGATTTCAGATTTATAATTTCGAACATTTTGGAGGCAATCAGTTGCGTGTTTCTGTTGTTGACGTTGTTGGTTTACGCTTGTCTACCAACGCTTCAGAATCTACATGGGAAAACTCTGATGTGCCATTCCGCGAGTCTTCTGGTGGCTTTTGCTTGTCTTTCCATAATACCTTGGGTGACACCACCGACAGAACAATACGGAACTATTGAAGAACTCTATGCCACTAAATATTGCGCGATACTTGGTATGCTGTCTTCTTATTCAAAGTTTCTAATTAAATCTTTCAAAATTTATAAAATTTGATGAATTATTTCATTCGGAATGTTATAATAATTCAAACTAAAAAATGAAATATTTAATTAAAATAAGTTTTAACACTAGAACCACCAAACCAGTCAAAATGGCTGGCTTTAAGTTTCTTTTTCATCGAGGTATTTTTGTTGAAATACACGTTGGCTTAAAATTAACTTAAAATCAAGTGTGCATAAAACGTTGGTAGTTCTAGTGTTAAGAAAAATCCCTGAACAAAATCTTCTGTTTTCATTTGCAGCATTCATCATGCTCTTCGCTTTCTGGTCTGCGTTTTGTTGGTTGAACGTCATGTGCTTCGATATTTGGCGAACATTTGGGTAAGTTTCAATGGTTCATTTTTCTTTCTCAACTTAACGAAATTCTTGCGAAAGGAGATTTGTCGTGAAGCAAACTACGAAGAAAAGGTGGATAATCGAGTTTAAAAGGGAATTAGTTGCAAAGTGACTTAAGTACACGATGACTAATGCGACAGAAATCGAGCCCGTCAATGATCCAGCAGATCACGGTGGATCTTTATTGAGAAGTTTTCGAGGAATACTGCGACGAGTACTTTATACGTGGCGATTTTTCAAGTGTCCCCAGTATAATAGATTACCCAGGATGATAGAGCTTGTAAGAATAGTTTTTGCCCCACATAATTTATTCTCCTCTCAAGTCTTGCAAGTTGTACCAGGTATCTCCTCGGATCCCTCGAGATGAACAGCAAGAGAAAAGTTTAATAGAAATGAAACAATTCATTCTTTCCATTGAGCAAGAAAATAATTGCCTCCAATTAAATACTTATCGGATAATTGCAATGGAAGGATTACATAGAAGATCCCGTTTATTGATCACTAGTTTATTAATTCAATGAATTTATTAAGCAACTTCTTACAGATGAATTCGTGATTAATATTTTGTCTTGCTTAATGGAATTACTTAATGGATTTTATAAATTATTTAATGTAGTAGTTAGTCAATATTTTTCTGCTACTTTCCTATTAAGGAAGTCCTATACCACCATGGAACTTATTGAATGAAAAAGAAAATTGTAATTTACAGTATTATTCATTTCTCTTCATAAGTTTTTAAAAAAAAAGCGTCAATTTTATAGCACTAAATCTTTCAGCAGACTCATGAAAAAGTACCCGGCCAGTAGCGATGACAAATGAACGATTTTCCTTTCTCATCGAAAAGTTAATCAATTCCATCGATATTCACAGATGCAATAATCCGGGTTTGCGGATTCCGCCGCGATAAATTTCATCCTGTTTCCCCCCTGAGGGAATTAACCTTCTCTCTGGTGGGTAATTTGAGAAATACCCTAACTTTCGTTCTCCGATTTCTAATTTCCACGGTATCGCCGTTCTCTGACCACGTAACAACGGTAATCCAGGCTTTTAACGCGTTTACCGAGATTTCATTTCCAAATTACACCGGACGCTGTTAAAACTAGGGTAATGTGTCAGTAGCGAAGGGTAATTCGATTCCGGAGGGATATTTAACGTAAACTTTGCGCCCGTCAACGGGGAATTTCCGGTTTACAGTAATTTCTCGTTACTACGGATAGTGAATGGATATCCGATACTATCTCTTGGAAATTTCTAAGAATTTCAAACAATTTCAAGTTAAAATATTCTTGAAGCTTTTGGAAGTCTTGGAAGAGTTCGAGATTGCCTCTTGAAAATGAAAGAGAGGTAATTGATACTTCAAAGAATTTGTCGAGTGCTGTACAGTAACGAGCATAGTAGATTTATATTAAGAAAAATGGTGCTGTCGAAGAAGACAGAATATTAATTTGAATGCCTTCAAAATCAGAATTCTCAATCTAATTTATAATAATTTCGTTTACTTTCGACTTAACGTTTTCCTCAAATTGCTTCCCCATTGTTTCGCATCCAATCCTGATTCATCGAAGGTTTAGGTGTGTGTTCTCTCATGTCGCAACACGTAAAAGTTTGTGTTTCTAGCATGCTATTCTAGCTGTTGGATTTGTAAATATGCGGAGAAAATAGAACTACGTGAACAGAGAATCGTCGCCTTCCCGTTCTTCCCTTTTCTTGTCAGCTTTCGAAACATTGTTTCGAACTCTTCTAGTCTTCGAATTTTTCGAATTTTTCTAGTCGTCAGTTTATTTATAAGTTATACATTTTCTGTTGCCTTGTTTCTTTTATTATATACATCTGAAGTGACCATATTGCTTGACTTATAATTCTTAAGAATGGTAATTTTTAACAATTCAAGAGAAGATATTGTTACAAATGTCTGTTTCAATAAATAGGCACAGTAACCTTGCAATTACATTTTACATCTGTTCCATTTCCATACGAATGAGCTGAGAAAACGAATTCCTCGACTTCCGTTTTATCGATAGGGTGGCTATCGTCGATCCGACGAATCGTTTTGATATCAATCAAACAGCTTCCCCGAAAATAAACGTCCTTCATTTTGCTCTCAGTTTTCCGCTAAATCATCGTTAATTCATTTGTCGGTTAATACGTCAATTTTTTTGAACGAATGCTTTTCATCGTGAATCATTCGATCAGGATGTTCGAAATAATTAGACATTTTACAGATGCAAAGAACGTGTTAAATATTAAGAAAGAACAAAAAGCTTTGTATATTTACAAGAGATATTTTTAGGTAACCTATAGGTTACCTTAGCTGTTTTTCGATCGTGCCAATGAGAATACTTTTATGATTCTAGAAAAATGTAGAGGACATTTGAAAAAACATCTTATGTAAGATGATTCTATTAAAAAAAATAGACTGACCTTATAGATTAACATTAAATTAAGAGCGACTAAATACGAAACGCTTTAAAGTAGATGATACGATCGAAATGACAGTATTCGAAAGAAAAAAAATATTAAAATAAATTTTTTCTCTTTTAGAAGGCTACGTGGAACAATTAGCAGAGGTCAATCTCATAACAAACAATTTCTGTTCTACTGTCTCTATGCATGGGGCTTATCAATGTTCATAACAGTCTTCGGGGTTTTGAGCGACGAGATTCAACTTCTGCCAAGACATCTGAGCCCTAATTTCGGTTCTATAGCTTGCTGGTTCGAAAGTAAGTAGATAGCAATAAGAAGTATATTTTATTATAATAAAACGTAGCCATCGTCATTAAAAATGTTCGAGATTCAGTAACTGGAATAGTCGCAAATTGCCTTAATGGCCATTCAAAGTAACTATCAGTGTCGTTATCTTTTTTCCTCGTTTCGTACGGGGGTTTCTTTAGCTCACACTCGACTAGTCATTGATAAGTAAGCACCAATTACAAAGTTTCTTCCCGTTTCATTTCACTGGGAATTAGGAGTCGAACGGGAAATCGTGTGCTGCATAGACCATTAGTCTTCCGATGGAAATGAAATTAACTGAAGAATGATTCTCGATTCTTAGGAAACCTCAGTGACTTTTGTTTAATTTAAATGCAAGCTAATTAAATCCATAGGATGAACATTTATCAATCACCGAACTTTGATACATAATTCAACCACTTTTGTTGTACCGAAAGTCTTTGATGTGCAACGTGAAATTTTACCCTTTGACCGGTTGAAGCGTGACACGTTAATTACGCCCTCAAAAATTCGCGCAATGAGAATGTAACGAAAAGACGTATTTAGGCCATGATGAGCATCCGTTCTAAGCTTTTCTCGTCACGCAACGTTTCTTCGCCGTTACACTAAACGAGTGTCGGCCATTCAGCTAATTACACTAATTAGTTCGTGTTGCTAGACGATGGTTTTGCACGAAATCCAGCCTTAAGAGGCGAGCTCGTTAAAGCCGACCGGAGACCAAGTGTTTTATAATACAAATGTTCCACGGCCATTTCCCTTTTTCTTGCTTTTGTACGTCTGAATAGCGAGATTTTATTATAACTACCGTGAAAGTTGAGTTACTCCTCTCACTTAACCCCTTCTCACCAATAACCCATTATTTGCGCGTTAATGCGGCAATAGTTCATTGTCCAACGACCTAATTAAAATGCCATTGACAATACAAATATTTTCTATTCGTTTGAAGAACCTCGAATTATGTGAAAATTATTTGACCTTTCCTCTGTTTGGATCAACCCTCATTCTTCTACATCCACGTGTTCTAATAATCATAAGGCAGAAGTTGAAGTTCAGAAATGATTTTCATCTGGATGATTTGACATAGAAAATGTGTGAATGTCACAGGTCAGCCCGGGATGTACGGTGATCTGATTTTCTTCCGGGGACCAATCGCAATTCAGCTGACATCGAACGTGGTGTTCTTCATTCTCACGTCAGAGCGGTGTAGCAAAGTGAAAGCAGAGATAAGAAGGGTTGCCGACCCATCGGATCCCAGGAGCAAACGATTTCACGCTGACAAAACTAAGTGAGTTTATCGGCCTCCCTCAAAGTGAAACCCGTTGAATTCGATAGAGATACGATACGGGAATACCTCGGGCCGCGTTTTCACTTCTCGAACCCTTTGTCGATGCGAGTGCTAAGGGAACTTTTGGATTTGCTTGATTTTCACCGAAATACCCTAACTATGTTGAGCTTACAGATAAAGGCAACTTTAGCACGTTCTCTGCCGCAGTGAAAATGGACCCTCGTGGAATAACACTGATTAATTTTCAAATTTCAAGCTTAATGTTTTTAAATTGTATTCAAAATTTCTACACCCTACACCCTATCCTTTTTCTTGCTCACATAAAAGATTGAACTTTTATCAATGTAGGTTCATCATGAACGTGAAACTGTTTATCGTCATGGGAATATCTTGGATCGCAGAGATAATTTCTTCCTTTGTAAATCAATATACTAATTACACCTGGCAGGAGCAAGTATTCTACGCGACCGACGCGTTGAACTGTCTCCAGGGTGTCTTGATATTCCTACTGTTCGTGATGAAGAAGAGGGTTTATCATGCATTGATGAAGCGACTGGGCTTCGAAAAGAGGAAAGGCTTGAGCCAAGGAACCTCGACGTTACAAGACCCACTAAGAGTGAAAATGAGTGCAAGTAACAGCACGCTAACGTCTAGTTTCGGTGTTAGTTTAGCACCTTGATCAGTGAAAATCAAATATTAATTGTGTTACCACACTGTTCATGCTTATCGCATTGGGTATGAAATATCATACAGATTTGTCACCCAATGTTTATCCTACATAAAGAGTTAAATATTGTAGAAAAAATATACGATTTTCTACGATTTTAACTTGCCACAAAACTCTTTTGTGAAGTAAGGAAATATATTTTTTTTACTATTTGATAATTTGTCTTTTGTTTTTATTATTCCTTCTCCATAGGTCGTTACTTTCATTTTTATATGAAATAAGGACTAAAATATTTATATTGATTATGTTAACGATTCACAATAATTGAATAATGTATTAATAAAAAATGTAATAGAACTTCAACTTGTATTTCATTGAGCCTGTGAAGGTATGGCCTTCATTATAAATTATTATAATTTGATAAAGTCGACGAAAAAAGATCTAGGATTCTTTTTTGGAAGGCTCAACTATCGAACAGATACAATGCACCATTCTAAAAAACACTCGCAGTTTTTAAACCGGGTTTAAATCATGTAGATGTATGATAAACGACTTTTCCAAAAGGTTCGTATTCGTTTCGCAGCATCCGTGGAAACGTTGCATCGATTATTTGTACTTCGGAGAAAAATAATCGCGATAGATGACATCCGAGATGTTACAAACGCGATAAATTACTGAGAATCCTGCAATTTTACAGACCGTTCTTTACAAGATGTTTTTTAAAACGCTGGATAAAATATTTTTGCAACATTTTGCAGCATATTTGTTTTAATCGAAATGCTATTAGATATGAAGCATTCAAATGATCAGCATTTTTAATAAACCTGATAATTTTTAATTTTTCATATTTGAGAAATTATCAATATTTACGTTACTTTGGTGCAATTAACTTGTAATTTACAAGTATTGCTTGCCAGGTTTAATTGCTGAAAAGTGAAAATAAATATTGACGTCCGAAAGATATCGGCTACGATGTCTCTAGGTATTAATAAACACCGTTCCCGGGTTTAATGCATTATTAATCGATGTACCTTTCAGCAAATATTGACACTTCCGCTGAGGTGCACAATCGGATTGTTCCTCACGCTGTTTAATTTGTTACTTGATAAGCTCCTGGCAAATGGCGATTCAGATAACCACTGATTCTTGATAGATCGCCGTTAATTAACCGTTCTTCGATGCAAAGTGAAAGCATTGAAAGGTGAAGAGAAGAGAAAAGTGCAGAGTGTGCAAAGAAAAAAGTTGAAGCTTCAGAATAATGGATTTCATGTGCATTTTCTCCCTCTTTTTTTTCAAGGTAAGAGGTTTAATTAAATTTGTAATTAGATATTTTATGTATTCACCTTGCATTTTTTTGATTAATAAAATATTTATAGTGGATGTTCAATAAATTTTTAATTTCTATTGGGTACGTATTTATCCTTCAAGAGAATTAATTGATCTTACGTAAAAATAATAATCATTTTTTCAGTATTTAAAAAATTTAAATACTGATGGTGTTTTGTAAAATTAAATAAATATTGTAGTTCAGTGTTATTCGCGTGAGATAGATCAATATTATTCTTGTTATTATTACCTTCATTCTTTTGCACAACCAAAGACTTCCGTGCCAGTTTCCGGTTCGAAGGGCCGCACTTTCGAAAAATCATTTTTCCTCACTAATTTTCCTGTTTCTTTACGGCTTCTTCTTTCACCACCCTCTATACACTGTCATGTAGTCATTTTTCCATTCATCGTATCAAATGAACGTATAATAAATAGAGAAATATAATATTTGAAGTCCAATATCACTTCAATGAAATCTTTTAATGAAAAACGAAAAAAAAATGATAGAAGCAGATTTTCATGGAAAAAGGTAAAATATTATATTCCAAAGGAATGTAAACAGAAATTTTAGAATCAAAAATGCTTTTACGGTTTGCTAGAATAATATGAAAAAGATTATATAAAAAATAAAAGTTGAAGTGATTTTTAAATGTGGAAAAATAGTATTCAAATTGGAAAAATGATATTACTGAAAGATAAATGAAAACAGTGAAATCGTTAACTAATTATTTTTTAATTCTAACATAGTGGAATTGAATGTTTAATATCTACCAACAGTAAGGTTTCACTGGCACACTGTCATCCCTTCCATCTGGCAAATTAATCTCGGCGTCCTCTCAAGCTAATTAATTAATCGATTAGTACAAGCGAACACCGTTTACTTGAAGTCTCAGCCGATCGATTAATCAATTCGCTGACTATGTCGCATTTCTCTTTCGCTCTCGTGTTCAAGGCTAATTGTATAGACACAGAGTATGTACAAGCACACATATCCACACACGTGCACAGGCGCACACATTCATCAATCATACCTGTAACTTACAACATTATAGTTTCAGAACAATCTAAAAAAAAAAAGTGTGTATCATGTTCATACAACACGTGTCTTTTTTTTCTGTTAACACGTTTCACATTTCAGAAAATCATTTGACATTCGAATTAAAGTGATAAAAAAATTTAGTGATAAAGTGTTAAATAAATTTTTACAAAAAACTGTCAAAGGGGGTCATCTCTTATAAAATCTTTAGAATCCTAACTTTCAAACATATCAAATTACCAGTCTTTTTATTTATGCTTGTTTCTTTTTCCTTATACCAAGGGGTATTTGTAGGGAGTTGAAAATATTTTTCAATAACGATCTATAAAATTCCTACCGAATTTCTTCTTAATTATAATTACCTCTAGTCATAAAAATAACTTTCTTATTGCTTGAATTTGATTAAGCAGATCTAGGCTCGAACCTCGAAGGTAAAACGTTGTCCACTAACAACCTTAAAGAATACACAACAAACCATCTGAAATTTCGAATGGAGGCAAGATTTTCTATTTTTTAAACGAAGCTCATAGATTACCTCCAGGCGTAAATCAGAAATCGCATTTAATCCTTAAACATCAGAAAATAATTAATCACCATTCTCCTAACTTGTAGCAACAAAGCCTGAAACTTACAGGAACAGCTCGCCAAGTGATACCTTGATTTTAATGAGCCTTTCTACGTTGATAAATCACGTTATTATAATCTCTGTATACAAGGGGGAAAACGTGGTACAATACAAGTAGCTACACCCTTATCATTTACTATATACCAGAAAATTGAAGATTTAAATATTATACGAAAATTTTCAAAATTAATTGCAGATATTAATGTTAAGATTAATTCATAATAGAATATGGGGTGTCCTCCCTTATATCGTTATTCTTTTGGAGACCACTTATGGAGAAGGGGAACCTGGGTCAGGGGAGGTTTATGATGAGGCCCAGAAATCCCTGAACCCTCAGAGAATAATGGACAGAGCCGGAAATCCGGGATGTTTATAGGAAGGGACGGCAGATCTATGGGAAAGGAGGACAAAAGAACTTATAACAACGTAATCAATTAGCATAGAAAAGCTGATTAAAATTAAAAGTCACCATTTGGCAGACTCTCCTTGTTACCAATGAACATTCAATTGTAAAGAACCAAGGCACCCACTACTGAATTAACCTGTGACGCGAGTGTAACACAAGATCTACGGAGAAATAAGGAAAAACGGTCACGTTCGAGGAGCACCATTTGCACAAGCATTTCGCCTCAAGGCTTCCTCTCGTTTGCGGTCTCCTCGAGGTCCGGGTCCTCGTTGATGATGGAGATGTCTCGAATCGAGGGTCTGCGAGCTTTCCAACCCTCGGGAGGCACCATAGGCGCTGTGGTCTTCGTCAGGAGCTTCGGTCCCGACAGGGTAATAAGGATTGCTCCTGCAGGAGCTGTGAGCAGTATCGAGAGTACGCACACAGTTACCACTGTTTCAGCATAGTACATTTCTTTCGGATTGTTCTGGTCAATTCTGTCCAGAGTGGTGGGTGCTAAAGCTGCCTGAACGGTCGCTTTCGCCATACAGGCTAAAGCAATGAACACTTTCTCTTTGAGGTTCAATTTCGAGCCAACCCCAACGAGGATCGTTACGATTATTCTAATTATGAAGGCTGCTAGGAGACATCCGAGAGACAGATACACGGTTTTACTGTCCAGTTCGTCGATTTTAATTTGCGTGCCCGTCATGGCGAACAGGATGGGCTCGAAGATCATCCAGAAGATCTCGAACGCTGTGGCCACAGGATTCTGAAACAGAAGAGCGTGGTTAGAATGGTACCTTAAAATAATTATTATCACGACACGCTTAATGATAATTCTTCTTCGAAGAATGGTCGGTAAAATGGACGAGTTTACTTGTCTTTTCCATTCAAGATATCCAAGGCAAAGGAATTATTTACTCGTTTTAATGACTCGAGGCGAGACGACAAAGGCGACAAGCGTACTTGGTCGCGGGTATTAATGGCGTTGATTTACAACGAGAAAGTGTAAGGCTGTTATTAAGCACGATAATATCCACGGCGAAATATTAATGAAATTGACGATCTCTCGTGGGTAGTTGAAGGGAGACGACGGGCGACGGTGCGGAAGAATAACGACGCCACCCTCAGTGAGGTAATTGTATCGCGTGTCGTGGTGAGAGGCACAATTCATAACGGATTCGAAGCCTACTTTAATCGGACATTGCCGAGGGAAAACGGCTGCAACACGATACCTTAATCACTGTAATTTAAGAAAATTTATGGTTTTTAATATCCCACATAGGGAGCGAAGGAATTCCATTTTCAAAAACCAAATTAATATTTTTGCAAAGAGCTAAAAGCTTTTCAAAACACATTCCTTTCGGTCGACGCAATTTTGTAAAAGGATATACCTATAAGCTTTCCGCGTTCAATAGGAACTTTTATTCTTGCCATTTTTCACGATACGATCGTCGAACGCTTAGACCGTGTCACTGTTACGTAGCAATAGTATCGCATAAGAGGATTAGTCCCCGGCGAACTGTTCATGTAGTGTATCTGGGAACAAATGGTAAAGTATCATCGATCGAATAACGAAAACTCGAACAACAGCGAGGATATCGCGAGTTCTCCAACAAACTCTACCTCGACCAGCGTGTCCCTGCATTTAGATTATTTTGTTGGAAACTTTTCGTCGAACCTAAAATAAATCTCGACCACTTGGTACGATGAAATAAGGGATGATAAAGTGGAGGGAAGAGAAAACTGTGTACCAGAGTAAAACAATTTTAAATAATCTCTATACTGTTTAGGGTAAAATGATTCTTCTGCTGAAAATTGGCTGACTCTTTACTAAATG